CACCACCAACCATAAACCCCCAAAACCCCGGTCTGCGATCCGGTACCCCGATGGGGTCGACTGTGAGTCACTCTTCAGCGCAGAAAGACCGGTACCGTATGCAGCCATGGCGGCAGTTGATCAGGAGCTCGACCGACTGGAATGAGCCGGTGTCATCACACCAGTAAACTACTCTTCTTGGCTGCGCCAATTGTTGCTGTGAGAAAGCCGAACGGCAAAGTGCGAGTCTGCTCCGATTTTTCGACCAGCCTGAATGCCGCATTGGACGGCTATCAATACCCCCTTCCAAAACTAGAGGATATCTTTCGCAAGCTGAATGGTGGGAATTGCTTCGCCAAGCTCGACTTGTCCGATGCTTACCTACAGGTCGAGGTTGATGAAAGCTCGAGAGATTTGCTGACCATTAACACTCATCGTGGCTTGTACCAGTACAACTGCTTCCCTTTTGGCGTGAAAAAAGCACCAGCCATCTTCCAGCAGCTGATGAACACCATGCTCGCGGGATTTTCGGGGTTGATATCATTTCAGTGGGTCGGACGGCAAATAACTATTTCAGCCGCTCGCTGAAGTGCTTATACGTATCCAGTCATTTGGTTTCCGTATCCGCGAAGACAAGTGTACTTTTTTGCACCAGCCATCAAGTTTCTCGGCTTCATTTTCTCAAAAGACGGTCGTCGCCCTGATCCAGAAAATATCCGAGCTATTCAAAAGATGCCCCCACCTGTGGACTTGTAATCACTACTTTCATTTTGTGGCCTAATCAGTCATTACAGCGCTTTCCTGCCCAAACTACATCGCCTGCGTGCCTCGTTGAATAAGTTGCTGAGCAAGGGCCAAACCTGTAATTGGACGCCAGAATGCCAGACTGTGTTGATCGGGTCAAGTCGTTGCTGGCTTCAGACCTACTCCTGACTCACTTTGATCCCTCCTGGTAAATTGTCCTTGCCACAGACGTATCGAGTCTAGGGATCAGTGCCGTAGTTTCCCATACCTTCCCAGATGGATCTCAGAAGGCGATCGCACAGGCTGCCAGGACGCAGACGAAAGCCGAAAGAAACCACAGTCAGATCGAGAAGGAGGCATTGGCTATAATGTTTGCTGTGAAAAAAATTTCACAAGATGTTGTATGGTCGCCGCTTCAGACTCTTGATGGATCACAGGCCACTGCTGGCCATTTTCGGCTCGAGGAAGGGAATTCTCGCCTGTACAGCTAATCGACTCCAACGATGGGCACTTACCTTGCTGGGCTATAGTTTTGCAATCCGTTATCCGTCAACGGATTTGCTGGGCCAGGCAGATGCGCTGTCACGCCTCATTGATTCCCAGCAGCAAGGACACGAGGACACAATCGTTGCCTCAGTTGGGATCGAACCTGGCGTCAAATTCCTGGTGAGCGGGGCACTACATGGTATGCAGTTACGGCCGATGCTGTGTGGGCCGAAATGCTCCGAGACCCAATCCTGAAGAAGGCGACACAATTCCAAAGAACCAGCTGGCCACGTTCGTGTTCCTCTGCCGAAATGCAGCAGTTTTATCAGCGATGATATTAGCTTTCCATTGTGGACGATTGCACCATGTTCTCAGACAGATGAGTCATCCCGCAGGCGTTGCAAGAAAGAGTGTTGCAGCAGTTTCCTTGCAGAACATCCAGGGCTCAACCGAATGAAAGCGCTTACCAGAAGTTATGTGTATTGGCCGTTAATCGACAGACAGCTAGAGCAGCTAGCTAGAAGTTGCGACAACTGCGCTACCGCCTCAGGGGCACCGCTGAAGACTGAACTCCACTAGTGGCCAAAACCAACTAAACCTTGGAGCCGTGTTCATGTCGACTTTGCAAGACCAATCAATGGCCAGAACTTTCTCATAGTGGTCGACGCTTATAGCAAGTGGCCAGAAGTGTTCCTCATGAGAAGCACGAAAACCGACGCAACCGTCTCTAGGTTGCTATAAATCTTCAGCAGGTTCGGCTGCCCTGAAACCTTGATGATGGGCAATGGGCCACAGTTTACTTCGGCCACATTCACGGGATTCTGCCAACGCTGCGCGTCAATCACGTGCGGTCTCTATTATTCCACCCACAATCGAACGGCCAAGCGGAGAGGTTTGTGGATACATTCAAACGCGCTCTTCTCAAATCAAGTAGGGAGGGAGACATAGAGGAGTTGATCGACCGCTTCCTTTTTTGTACCGATCTACACAAAATTCACAAACGCCGGGTGGAATATCACCAGCAGAGGCAATGATGAAGCGAAAACTTCGCATGCCATTTGATGCAGTTCGGCCGTCCTCAGAGTCCATAGCTGGTGAAAGGAACCTCAAGATGGAACGTGACTTTAATCGGCGGTATGGTGCCAAGCGACGTTCGTTTAGACCGGGTCAGCCAGTACTTGTACGTGATTATCGGGATGGACACGCGAAATGGACGTCAGGCACGATCCAGGGCAAGCGCGGAGGCGTCATTTACGACGTGCTGGTTGGAATGCAGATATGGGTACGCGATGCAAACCAACTGCGAACAACAATGTGTCAGCCCCAAGCAACAGAATCCGCCAAGCTTCCGTATGACCTGTTGACAGACAGTTTCAACTTGCCTACAGAGCCAGTAGAAGAATCCTGTCATCAGACGAATGGTCCCGGACCGCAGAGCTTGGAATCCGAATCCAGAACATTACAGCCAAGGAGATGCACCGGTAGGCGAAGAACCACTTCCAGGAGGCTTCAGGTTAATCCCAGGCTAACATCATGCACAACGGCAGCTGTTTCAGGAGGGGAGGTATCCGGGAATCAGATAAAAACATAATGGAAAAGGCTATGGAACTTGCAACACACGAACTACGAAAGAATAGAGAAAAGGAAAGTATGTAATGGTGACTGAAAGCTGGGCTGAAGGGAATCGTCTACCCGTGCGGTAGATCAGACGATCGATCGAGCGGACGAACGCGTTTTCAAACACCCAGATAATTGTACTTTTGCCTCAGAGTTGAGAGTACGGTGTTTCGGCGGCATTATATGGCTACGTTGGCAGCTTAACAGGTTTTCTGTGTGCAAGGTTGTTGGAATTTTGACTTTTCTTCCGCTGGGCTAGAAGGTGTTGCAGAGAAAATTTTGGATGGTTAATTCGGAATAGCGAGAAAAAGTGGAGAGCTAACAGGAACACAGAGAGCAATAAGGATAAGATCCAGCTTGACTACATATCAGCAGCCATTATTTCTTGCTAGCTTAAGGGAAGATAGGCTGCTGTGTAGTCAGTTACCTCGACGATTGTTGTAGTGCAGAAAGCAAGGCCATGTTTGGAGTGAAAATTAGATTGTGGTACAAACAGTGCTATCGAAGCAGCAGTTACTGTATCGGATGGCGCATCGACGCCAACAAAACAAGTTTGGTCATTCATAACCTATGTGGATGCGCTGCCATGGCCTCGGCTTTAACCGAGATGGCTACGGGCACCTGGGAAACCTTGTCGCCGCCTGCTGTCTGGATTCATGCGGTTGGCAAAATCATTCAATTTCAGATTCCATTCCAGGCCAATAAACAGAACTTCGTGCCAAGGCTTTCGTATGGTTGGTACCTGAATGCCCGGGAGGAAACTGCTGTAAGACGTGCCTGTTTAGTTTCGTTGGCACTACTTCTCGGTCACTAAACATCAAATATTTGTCCACCACGGGCAGTGGCCCACGTCAACAGGATGAAAGGCCGCAAGTTAGCAGCGCCACCAATTATTGGCCAGCGTGGTTGCCCTTACTGCATCACTTTTTCCAGTGTTTTATTTCGCAAAGTCTTCGTGCGATAAGTGTCAGCTGTTACTAGTAACCTTCTGATAGTAACGGTCAAACTTCGCTAAAACGCTGCCTTTAACTTGGTAGCTGCAATCACGCAATCCACTTTTTCTTATGGGGGCGAATTAATAGGACGAAACGGGGTATGCGCTTAGCCGATTTTGTGTAGGCCGATACTGTATACTGAAATGGCACACTAACAATAGGATCGCCCAAATCTGTAAACGATTCGCTGCAGTACGGGTATTCTATGTGCCGGACGTTGACAGCAGTGGCTTACGATCGGTTAGGAGCCTACAGTGCCTGCATGGAGCAACTTGCGTGTCTTGGGACGTGGAAACCACTCGCTTGAGGAGCCCATCTCACTGCATCAACTGCGGTGGTTGGGACACGTATTGCGCATGCCTGTCCAGCGTTACCCCCGTCGTGCGTTGATTGCACTTGCTGGACAGGGCTGGAAGAGACGGTCTGGTGGACGGCCTAAAACATGGAGAGGCCGCATGAAAAAGTTGACGAAACAATTGGCCTCGGCCGGTTGTCGTCGGCTACCTGGTTGGGGTCCGAGAGATGAGGATACTTGCTGGTTGAAAACCTTGGAAGTTATGGCTCAAGATCGATGTCATTGGCGAATGTGTGCATCAGTGTGTTACGGTGTCCCTTCTTCCTCCCCCTAAAAAAGAACAA